GCCCAGTTTTTCTCCTGCCCAGGCAGGGGGTCAGACATGAAGATCTGCAAGGTCCCTTCGGATCCTGATTCTATGATTAAGGGAGAGGTCACCAACCATTCTCTTAAATTTGGAAAGCAATCCCAATTGTCTCCATTCTACCCTGCTGTCTATAAGGGCAGGAGTTTAGGTTTCCCATATTTACTTCAGGCATTGTATCTCTGTGGCCAGTGGCCATCCTTGCATGGGTGCCATTTTTTTGTCTTGTAGGAACCAGAGTAAATTATATAAATGTCTATAACTTTCTCCTTCTTTGCGCTTCAGCTGAACTTTTTGCAGAAGCGCATTTCAGGACTTCATGGAAAGAATTACATGGGGTTAAACCTCAGGCCTATAGCATCCAGGGCTACACCAGGAAGATGTGATGGAATAAGGTAGGGTAGCCCATAACTATTCTTCAGTAGCTCCTTATTATGGACCAAAAGAAGTCTTAATTTTGAGAGCTATTCTGGAATATTTATTACATAATGCAAAAGTTGCTATAAAGCTTATTCTGTGATAACTATTCTTTTCCATGAATGGCTACTACTGACAGTTTCCAGTCAGCTTCAATAAGAGGGAATCTCACCTTTCCAAAGAAACAAACAATTAATATGTAATGTGTATGAATTTTTCAGCATTTAAGAATGTCTTTCCTTTCTAAATTGTCTGCTGACAAAAGTTGGAGGATACTCATAGGCAGAAATGTGTCAGTTCCTGGGCTTCTTGTGAAAAAAATCTGAAGTGGTACAGGCCTTGGGATCGCACCCATCCCTGGATTTCACTAGACTTATTTTGCTATAAAGTACTTCCTTTTTCATCTATGTCTAGTTAAATCTGGTAAGATTTATGAAACCTCAGCTCAATGAGCACTGCCTCTATTTTCTAACTGAGACAGAAGCCCAATTTAAAAAACTTAGATCCAGGTCCTACAGATTATTTAGTGTTCTGACACTTATTAGTGTCCCCACTAACATCATACATGTGTGCCCATCTGTGTGTTGCTCAAATCACGAGTGAGACAAGGGGGATAAGGCAAGGTGCTGTGTTTATTGATTACATTAGTTAGACATAGAGGTTTGGACACAGGATCCATACACACACAAATCATCATAAACATTATTACACACAGGCATACACATACACAAAACAACCATTCCATCCACACATACATCAGATATATTTACCAGCAATAGTTGCTCAATATCAGCCCAGGGTGGCCAACCTGGGCTTATTGAATAGATGATGATTTGAAGATAGCAGATTTGAAAATAACAGCTGGAGTGGGGTGAACAGATGCATCTGTGCTCTGATGAAACAGCAGTAGAGAAAGAGACTCACCCAAGCTGGCATTTTCAAAGTGTTTTTTTTTTATGGGGATTGGCATCCTTTGTTTCAGTGCTTTGGGGTTTTTCCATACCCAGCTTCTGTTTTTGCGGTTGTTTTTCTTTTGTCTTCAGCTTATCTTAGCTTTGGAGTGTTCTTGCTGCCCGTCTGGCAGGATGGGTGCATTCTTTCTCCTCTTTATCTTCTTTGTGCCCTAGGCCTTAAAGGGATTCTTCAGCCATCCATTAATTAGTTTACAGACTGGTAACTTGCATTGGGCACCTTGCTGCTTACATAGACAGTTAAATCTTCTTCTCCCATCTCTGTGCCATTCTCTCACCATTCACCCTTTTACACACACTCATACATAAAGGCTATGCAGAGTTCATTCACTTATGTCAAGTAGAAGGATACAAAATGCAGTTTCAGATTGCTTCCAGGACAAGACTAACATGGTTATATTTCACTGTTATTACACTCTATGTTAACATCAGCTACATTAGTTCAGTTGATGCTACATGTGCAGACATTCAGTCGGTTTAAAACAGGCCAAAAGTGGCATGTTCAATCTAAGTTCACCTGAGTAGGTGCACTAACTCAGATCGGGAATGAGTTAACTTGATCCAGCAAACACCTGCACATGTTTGGAGTGCAGCCCCAGGGCAGGGCAAGCCCAGCCATACTTATCAGTTCTGGGACTGCACTCTTCCTATCACCTTTACCTTGATTGACCTAATTTTTGATACCTCATACCTCCACCCCCAGTTGGACAACCCCCCTCCCCAATCCTGCCAACCACCCTTGACCTGCCAACCTCCCCAGCCCACCTAGGGGGCCCCCACCCTGAGTTACTTGCATCAGCTTCCCTGTGTGGCTCCTGGCATCAGCAGACATGGACACAATGTCCCCAGTCTATGATCATGCAGCTTAAGGCAAGGCGTACACCCTAAATAAATTTGAGCATCTGGGACATAGCTAATAGCTAAATATAATATCCAGTGATTTTCAATGGAAGCCATCCCCAGTAAATGCATTTGGAACCAAAGGACTGCACATTTAATAGATAGGAATGGGGGTGGCTGAAAATGTCACTATACCCTCACATCATTAAAGGATAAAATTACATCTTTTTTAGGCTTGGAGCACTAGGTAGTTTGATTATCAGCCCTTTTCCCCAGCTCTCAAGTTTGAAGGAAGGTCTGTTCCCCTGTTGTTATGTAGGTGCCTGGAGGTAAATCTTCGTTCCCATCATAGCACCCATGCAATTTAGAACAGGATGTGATGCATATCTATAAGGAAAATGAGGAACACTTCACTATACCACTGAGATGGCTTAAGGCTCAGTTTGTTCATAGAGCCAAGCACTAGAAGGATATAGGTACACTGTCACCCTAAAAAATAGCAATATGAAATTGCTCCCTAAAGCAATCACTGGGTTTTTAAAATTTTTTTTTTAGCTTCTGAAAAACATTGGAACAACAGGAGGAAAAACCCGTCTGCAGAATAAAATTGTAGCAATAAATCTATCGAAGTTACCTAAGTTATTTTGAAGCTAATTATGACTGTGTGCAAAGCAAATGAAGTGAGAACTGAATTAATGAAGACCAGCTACCTCCCACAAGCTAATGAGGCATGTTTTATACCAATAGCTCTTCAAATTGAAAAATTAAACCACTGCTGCAAAAAAAAAGGGAGGAAAAAATGCATGCTGGAATTTTGTTAAGAACAACACAGAAGAGAGAAGAATCTGACTCTGTAGGATTTCTGCTACCTTGCTGTTTAATACCTCTGCAAGGGAGATGTATTTTTACTCTGATGTGCATTTCTAAGAATCTGGAAACCCTTCATTTTTCCCCCTTCCTTTTTAGTCACTTTTAGTGCCACTGGGCTGAAGGAAACAACAGAACCATGCTGCTATTGGCTTGTTTTTCTAAAGATTTCCTTGGAGTATTTTCCCATAGAAAATAGGGCCAGGTATGCATAGCATATTTTCAGCTCTCAGGTGCTGTGCCTTATTTTGTGCACTCAGACATTCAGTTGAGTTTGCAGCTGTTAATTCTGTCCCTCCCAGCATGACAAGTCTGGCTGTCTGTCATCTACTCCTCATGTTCTCACTTGCTTTTTTTTTTTCCTTTTTGTAACATTTTTATTTTCATTTTCTCTGCCACCTTCACCCTTTTGCTTTCACAAACTAAATCCTTTCTTCACAATAACTAAAATCAGTTCCTTTCTTTATCCCTGTGTGGATTCAGCCATGTTTTTCTGTAGCATAATAGGACTATTTTCTTCTTACTGAGGAGGATAAAAAATTAAATGTTGCTTGCTTTGGGGAAATATCTGTTCTGTTTATCAGGAATATATAAATCTGTACATTAAGGAGATATAATTTCATTCAATCTGTTTAACTGAAAGAGGTTATTTTTCCATAACATTTTATTAGCATTGCAAAATGTAATTTGAAAAGCAATACAAATGTGACATAATTTCACTATGGCATTGACAATGTAAGTTTGGAACAGCTCCTGGAAACATAAAGTGTTTATAAGGAAGCATACAATAATTAGGAGTGTGTGAAGCTTCTGTTGCCAATTCTATTCAAAGAAGATTTTGCCCCATTTGGAGGCCGACTTGCCAAATGTGAATCTAATCGGGGGAGCAAAAAAGCCTTCTGAATTGATTCAGAGCCTCTGAATTGATTCAGAAAAGATTCAGAAAAAGATTCGGAGATTCGGAGATTTGGAAGGCAGTCTTTCAGGGGAACAGAAACTGAGAAGAGGGAGGGGGAGCAGGGGGGAGAAAGACTGACATCTGTGGATGGCCAGTGACTGATCTTTCCCTGAGTCCCCTTCCAATCACAGTGCTCTGGGGGAGGGATGTAGAAGCAGCAAAAGCCTTTGTCTGCAGTCTTTCTTTCCCTTTTGTGACCTGTTTCTGCTTGAACAGCAGCTTCTGAAAGGTACTACTAGACTGGCTTGGCATCCTATTCAGTCTCCTGCTAGTCTGTCTCCTGGGAAATGTTTGGATACAGCTTACTAATTACCCCTGCCTAGAATCCCGCTACTTATCCCTGTTCAATTCATTCCTTTCAACATTATTCTTCCCCCCAAAACCTCTTATTTGTTCCTGTTATTTTTTTCCCCCACACTTTTTAAAAAGAAAGCTGTGTTTTCCCTGACAGTGTGATCCATTCACTGTGCAGGAAAACACATACATTATGTACACTCAAACACATAGAGTAAACAGAGAAGAAGAAGAGATATTAGTTAGTTACACACACTGAGAAGAAGAGATACTACAGTTGTGCGTGCACACACACACACACACACACACACACACACACACACACACTTTACAGCACAGTAAACATTAATATGAAGTGTGCTGGAAAGGCAGGTGCCAAGTCTTCTGGCAGGGGAGGGAGAGGGGCTAGAGGGGGTAAGGGGAGAGCTGCAAGTTCTCTCTCCACCCCCAACATAGACACATCCTCTTTCCTGGCAGTGATGAATCTTCTGCTGCCAGTTGAGAGCAGGAAGTGGGAGCAGTACCTTTTCCTGCATGTGCACCAGCTCCCTTATCACCAGAAATAGCCACCAGCACCAGCATGACAGTCTCCTCTGCCCCAATTTTATATCCCAGCAAAAGCCTCCCAGTGCCAGAGGAGGAGCTGGATCTGGAAGCATGGGACCTGAGCGCCCTAATAAAAGAAATTCTGGGGAAGGAGGGGGAATCTGAGTTTGTGCTCCACACCCCTCAAAGTTCCCCTAGAGCCAGGTTTCCTTCTCCAGAAAGCACCTCAGAGGAGGTTGAGGTTGAGATTGTGGAGGCAAGTGGCTCAGCTGAGGCCTCTGTTATTGTGCTTCTGTCTGCTGAGGGGGGGGATAAGGCAGGATCCCCATTCTCAACCCCAAAGCAGGTGGGTAGTATAGTGTGAGACCATTTTGAGGTGGCAGATAATTCCAAGTATGCTATCTGCTAGCACAGCTGAAGGCAGATCAGCTGGGACAAGGAGGTGAAACGCTTCACTACCACAGCAATGCTGCCACATCTCTGGAGACAGCACCCCCTTTCC